TCGTTTTTCAAGCCGTCAAGAAGTACAGTAGAGGTTTATTGCAAGAACATAGAAGAAATGTTCGGGGATCTAGCAGTTTCATCGCTTTGTGATGAAGCGCGGCCGTACACTTCAAGTGACTTGAAATTCAAAATTCAGAAATTGGACTGCGGCAGCGGCAAGCCTTATCTTCACTTATGGCATTGTTATAAAGCATTCTGATAGTTATTTCGGCGATAGAAGTATTCAGGAAAGTGCAGTGTTCGAAATGAGTTTAGCTGAGTCCTTAGCTCCCGCGATTTGGATTTTTAGGCGGGCATTTCATTGACGCAGTAGTTCAGATAATACTTATTTTGGCTAAGAATGCCAAGAGGATTACGGATCATGGGACCTTCAAAATGACTTCGTGTTCGACATGGTTCAGCTTAATGTTTATTGGGGCTACTGAAACCTGGTGCCATTCTGTCTTTATAAAACATTTAGGAATATCATGACTTTATGCCTCACAACGACTAGGTTTTTGAATATTATACTATTTAATTTTATTCTCGTCTCGATCTTTTTTTGATTTCTTCTTTTTTGGGTTTTATTTGCCGTATCAAATTTCATATTTGACTTGTAGGTTGAATATTCCGAAAGTGGGATGCCTTTTTATGTGCGTTAGTGGGAGACGGTTCTGTCGAGGAGATTGATATCTGTCCTAATTTGAGCATATTGAACCTCTGCTGATCGTTAATCAGCAAACCTTGATTCATTTTGGTTTTTCAGAGTGCGTTTCTCTTTCTGAGGATGCGAAGCGGCTTGTTGGGGAAGAAAGACACAAGCTTCTTCGTTGCTTACGACAACATCTAAATAGGCGGTACGACCCGATCGAAGGTGCTCATCGATTTGGTTTAATTTTACTGAGGATACCTAATGTGCAGGTTGGGAATTTCAGAGTTTTTTTATGGAAAGAATTGATATTGTTTTCTATGAGGATTCAGTCTAACTTTTTGCATTCTTTTTCCAAATTTCTATTTACCTTCTCTCTGTTGAATTTTTTGTTGTGAGCAGGAAAGTTCTACACAAGAAAAAGAATTATGTCGCTTAATTGGCACATTCTTGCTCTGATTGATTCGTATTTAAAGTCCCATTTTTTTTTATTAAAAAACATTTTTAACACAAATATTGTTTCGTGAACCGCCAATACTCTTTTATTACTTCAAAATTATCAGAAAGTTGAGCCTTCCGTTAAAGACAGGCCTCCTAACTTTTCAGTGGTCCGCACAAAAAAATTTTTCCATCGAGCTTTTTCAGTTAGCGTACCATGTAGTCACTTTAAAGAGGTTAGAATATTTCCTCTGTTATATAGTGACTTAAAAATGTTCGCTTTGTATGAGTCTGTACCGTCGTTAATATTGGTTATTGTAGAAGGTAGCAGCTTTTAAAAGGGAGACTCTGTGCACAATAGAAACCTTCAACTTGATGTCACCTCATCCATTGACAATGGAAATCTCAAACAAGTATCCGGACGTATCTTTTTTTTAACACAGTGGTTTTCGAAAACTAGCTGTTGGATGTAAAATACAGTGTATAGTAATTTTATTATGTTTCCTTAAGACCAAATTTGTTGTCATACATGTGTCATAGTTGTTAATTTCGTAATCAGTATACATTTAGCCTTTGAAAACTGGCCGCGGTGAGTCGGCTTTGTATAGTAGAATAACATTTTTTAGCTGAAAAGTCTTTGCTTCATGTTTTACTCTATTATGAAATGTTAGGTTTCTAATCAGAATTTATTGACTGTAATTTATGAACTTCAAATTAAAAGATGAAATTTATTTCTAATGCTACGCATCATGAGGCATACACGTTTCATTTGCCATAAAACAGCGTTGTTCCGTTTTCCTAATTTTAACTATATTTGTAAGTTAGAAGAAATCGTCGTGTGCGCTGCGCGCGGGACTTGCAGGACAAGAGTACCTAGTTGATCGGATTGTGTTTCTCGCAAAATTAAGGGACATGGAGGCTGTGGTTTTTGCAACTCATCTTTAGAGCCTTTTACGGTTAAATCAAAAAATACTCGAAAAATGTCCGAGTAACTTTTCCCACTGGTCTTGGTAGTGAAGAGCGATGGGCTGGAGTAGAGGGTGAGCCTTGAGAGAACATGGCCTGATCGGTTCTGTGAAGACGGCTTACACATGGCTATTGCTTGTGGGGGCACCGATTAATCAAAGAGGTACAAGTCAAAAGTTTATCTTTTGTGTTCTGGCAAAAATGCAGTTTGTAACGTTTGATAGAAGTATACAGTTCAAACTTGAATTCGCAACAACGATGGAACAACTAGCAGAACTAAATTTAATAAATGCTGCTGGGATGCGATGTGGTGGGAACGGCTGTGTTCAAGAGCAACTTATATATCGCAGCCAAAAAAATTAAAGGATTTAATGTGGGATGCAGAGGGACTTTATGGTCCGCGGAAGTGCCTTGCTGGATACTAATCTGGCTATTCTCAAGATTGAGTGATAATGCTAACTGCAATAAATCAAGTTGTGGAGCAAGTTATGCTCCATTAGCTGTGCAAGCAACTTAGCCTCCAGCTGAATAGTATATGCCAAACTGAACTTCTGTGGCGTTAGCTTCATTCGGAAAAAATGACTGTAACCTAGTTTCCTAAGGGCTGTGTGGGATTTAATATTTAAGGATGACTTTGAAAGGTACATGGAATAAATAGGTTTTTACTGGTGAGACAAGTCCACTTATCACTCACAAGAACAACATTATTAATATGTAAGCCAACTAATAAACTTTAGCAAGATTTAGACTATCATACTCGAAACTTCCTTCTACCAACGAATTCCTCTGCAAATACACATTCTATTTACCCTTTACTGCAAAGGTGTATCTTTCCCACCACTGATCCCAGTTGTTGTTAAAATCTCGTGAGTGAGTGGGGAAAATTACTAAAGGATCGGGGTAGAGCCTGTGCAATGTTTCTCCAGTACTGCCACGGTATACTGGAACATGTTCTGGGCCGTCCCACCATGAGTACCAAACCTTGTAATCAAAATTGCGGAAAGGCACGCAAAATTTGATCGTTCCTGAACAGCATTATGATGTTTACATGCTCAACTGCTTTTTGAGAAAATTTGACATCGAAAATAATCAGAAACGTACTTGTCCGATAGATGATAAAAAAGCTTCTCACAAGAGATTTATGATCACGAGAACATTTTGAAAAGAGCCTAATTAAATAGATATTACCGTGTTCTTTCGCTTTCAAAAGCTGAGCTCGAAGATTGTGATACTGCTCGAAGCAAAGGCCAGTCTGAAGAAGCGGTAATGGTTCCGCCGTCCCAGATTTCAAAAACTGCATAATAAGTTCTGGATTCTAAAAGCATTCAAATTCTGAAAGTAAGAAGGACGACCTTAAAGAAGGAATGCAGTCACTAATAATGGAAATCAAAAGAGTGCAAAAGTTATTAGCAAATGTAATATCTTCCAGTGCCAACAACGATCAATAAAAGAAGCGGTTAAAAAAGGGTGAGAACCATCAGTCACCAACCCGGTAATCGAAAAATAAATATTCATCTCTACAAATCGGACAAGCGTTGTTAGTTCGAAACTTCTTATCTTTATCCAAGCAGCGAAGACGCGGTGGAGGTTGGAAAATAGCTTGTCCTTTGTAATTCCTTCTATACCACGCATGTACTGGTTTACCTTTATACGCATTCTGATAAGCTGTAAAACGGTAAATAGGATACCCTTTTAAAAGATCTTGAAGATCACTCACTCAGTCCAATGAGGAAGAGTAAAATAAGTAGTAATGCCAATAGAACAAATCTTGGCTATTAAGATAATCCAATGACTAACTTTCTTCGCAGTTGACGACCTTTGTTTCAAATGAGCCTATCTCTATAAGTGAAGAAACAACCAACCTTTGCTTCGCATGTAAGCTATTTGTTCAGCAAGAGTATGCTCTGGTTTGATCAGACTTTTCTTTTTTTCAACATGGTTGAACGCATAGCCTGTCGCTTCCACAATCTCTTCGTTGACTTCATTTTGTTCACCTTCTGCGGCATTTTCTATTTCTTGCGCATTATTAGGCAGACGCAGTTTTGATGTTGTGGATAAGAACGCACCGTCATAACAGCCTAATTTGGAATGAACCATACACAAGCGAAATATGCTTCTCACCATGTCTAACTTAACAGTGATGAGTGTATCGCACTCCCCACCTGCAATTACTAAGCAGTCATGAAGATCTCAACTCCTAAGCATCGTAGCACAGCAGAAAACCAACATTAACGCAAATAGAACCTTTCTAGTAGACGACATCCCGACATCAACCCAAAAGGAAAAAGAATTTGGATTCCACTCTGCTAAACAACTGAACTTAATTTTCCACCTGGGAGCGAAGAAAACCAAGAGCAATCTTAACAATGAACTTGGCTTCATCTAGTGCAGCAATTACCTTTAGATTTGATGTTAAATAAAGCATCACTGGCAGTCTAACCACTCACCTACTCCCCAAAAAGAAGCTTCAATAACGGTCTAAAACTGCTCCATTTCCGTAATACTTCTAATGGGGGAGACGAGAAACCAAGAGAACCATGAACACCAACCATGCAAACTTGAAAAATGGCACAATTGAGGCCGGACCATCCCCCACTTACATAACACCCCCACTCGCAATCATCTTTGCAACAAAAATCTTGAGCTGTAATAAATAATGTTCATAGAGCTGCACAACTAACATCGTATTTCTGGAAACTTCTGGCTAAAAAGGAAGTGAATTTGCTCTATCAAAGTAGTTTGCCGGCAATGTCCCGTAGAGGAAAGAAGATTGAAAAAATATCAACTAGTAGCCAAGCAAGAGCAATATACTTCTGAGCTACTGTTAAATGTATTTGGACCCTTCAAAAGATTAGGTAAATACGAACCTTTCAACAAAATGAAGATCCCAAACAATTTGTACGACATAAAAAACAGAAATCGCTAGAGGAAAATGAAAACAAAAAAATAAATAAATAAATAAAAGAATGTTACAACGAAGATAAAGGTTACGCATCGCTCGAGTCACGACAGATTGCTCAATTGTTACGTCAAAACGACAATCAACCCAATATAAAACACTTCTTTACAAATATAATACATAACTCTTTCAAATCACGGAGAGCCATGAGAGAAAAAATCAAAAGCTCCACATGAAAAGTAATAACAGAGGTTGCTTAAAATGCATCAAAACACAAACTGCCAAAAGCCACTTCTTGTCCTTAACGCATTTATATAAGACTAAAGGTTCTACAGTGGTAAAAATATAGCAACAATAAAAGCGTAAAATTTCTTGGAAATATACAGGGCCTTGTAACATACTTTTTTACCAGCCCGAGACTTTATATAAGAAAGTACAACTTCAAGGTAGTTTCAGTAACCTCTTAACAATACAAGTCATATAAGCAAAACTATCATTCAGGGCATTAAGTCCTTTTAAGCAGTAAAATAAACTTGAGTGTAATGCAAACAACAAAAGTGGGAGAAATCAAAAGCTGCATCCATTCAGCTGTCGAGGTCCAACAAATTATTAGTTACTTCGGGATTTCTAAATGATTAGCCAGCATAACAAGGATCTCTTCTGTCCTTTTTCTCCAGTTCTTCACATCCTTCGACATCTTCTGCCAAGCCTCACCATGTCGTGGCTCAGCTTGCACGCATTTCTTTTTGACAATATCTTGTTCTTCCTTAAAACTACGAAGAGCTACACTCGGAATGAATAATAGTCAAAGCGTGGAAAATTAAACATTAAACAATAAAGTAAATTAAAAATTTACAGATTGCTAAATAAAATATAATTAACTTTCAAAACAATTCACCTGAGTGCCGTGAACAGTTTCAAATTTATAAAAGTAAGCCCATGCGTCACCAAAGTCAGGGTCAATTTTAACAGTCCTTTGAAACCATTCTCGAGTTTTTTTAATTTTCCTTTCAGTCCAGAAAAGTTTAGATACAGCTAACAAAACATGTGCATTATGTTCACATTTCTTTAGAGCATCTACAGATCGCGTTCTTCTCGCATGTCTGTCCTCCATAAAAACCGCTTCAGCCCATAGTATACCTAAAATACTATGAACTAACAATGAAATCCTAATTACACATGCTCTGAACTTGATAAACAACTTTAATAAAAAAAATCCCACTGGATGCGCAAATAAATCAAGAAAATCCCTGCACTAAAAACTGCAGAAAGACTTGTCCACCTGAATGCTCGCACTCCTGTAAGGCTCGTGCCAAACGTTCTTGAGCCAGTTCTTTTAGACCAGCGCGCGCTTCAATTCGTACAGACTCCAACCTATAAAAATATATTATAAAAGTAAGAAAGACTTTTCATAACGCTCCTGTAGAATAAAGAGAATGAGGATGTATCTCTACCACAGCTCCTGATTCTTCGGATTTTTCAAACGTGCCCTTTCCAAATCAGAACGAGCTTTAATCAAATTTTTTTCTGACTCTTCCAGACGACTAAGCCAGATCCACAAAGGTATGAATGAAGGGCACTTTTTAACCTAAAAACAGGCAAACCAACTATTCTCCAAAACTATATATTGTGAAAAAAATGTAAAAATCAACAGTGTGATGACCTAACCCCTTCAGAAAAATAACGACGTGCTTCAGGGATGTTTTTTTCTTGCCAAAGAATCTGCCCCATCATCAAATAAAGTTTTGGAGTTTCAGGGTAAAGTTCAATTGCCTCCTTCAGTAACCGTTTTGCCTCTTTTAAATCTTCTAAACACCATTCCAGCCTGAAAAAAATACGCGTCCAAAATTGAAGAAAATCAAAGTACCGAATATCAATAAAAAAGCACCTAGCAGACTTCAAGTATATCCTTTGTGATGGAGCAATTTCTCGAGCCTTTTCAAGTAATTTCCTAGCCCTTTGGTACTCACTGTTTTCAGATTCCAGTTTCACTGCAGCCATCCATATCTCTTCCGAATTAGGATTGTTCTAAAAATCCGCCATGTAGAAACTGTAAAAGAGAATGATGCTCTCGTTGTTTGAAAAAAGCCTCAGACTGAGGTCTAATTATACCTGGAAGGCGCGGGCAAGTATTTCGCGCGAAGCTCTCACATCTCCTGCCAACCACTTACTTTTAGCATACATAAGCCAAAGTGTTTCAGCTTTAGGACAGTTCCCCACTGCTCGCGACAATAATGCATCATATGTTTCACTAAGATATAAATCATAAAAAAAATAGAAGTATAAAAACAGAAAACTTAAACTACGATATAAAAAATATACGTTGTGCCGTGGTTCCTTTCAAAATCTGCTGCAGCAAACCAGATGCTTTTCTTATTCGGATAAACATTGAGCGCATGGGAGAAAACAGCGCGAGCACACTCAAAAGCTTCTTGCGCAACAAACTAAACAGGGCTTTATAAGTGTAGGATGCATAATAGGCCGAGCTAAGATATTATAAAGACTGTTAACATACAGACTCAGCATCTTCAAGCCAAGTATGTTTTTTGTCTTCCTCTTCAACTCCAATACCAAGCACATTCGATATTATGGCTTGAGAAGTAAGTTTGCACTGTGCCTTAATAAAAATGTAGCAATGAAGGAACAAAGAACGTTTTAAATCCAAAGAAAAATTTGCGAAATATTAATAAAGCATAATCAAGAGTAATAGCAATTGTGAGTTGGAATCAATAAATTACTTTTTCAGCATCAACAGCATCCTTCAACCAATGTTCCCTATTTATTTCAACCATATTTGCCCTTAATGATGTTAATGCTCTTTCGATGATTCTGTTAACCATCTCACTCTGCCCCCTTGTTTCTTCGAGTCTCGCTGCACTGATCCAAATTTGACGATCTGTTGGAATATTCTCTCTAGCCTTATTTAAAACTTTTCTTGCGTTTTCGTATGTTTCCAAACGAGCTAATGCCAACCAAAGTTCCGTTGAAGTGCTTGAAAAACAAGTACTTTAAACTAGTATCACCTGATTCCCTAACGTCAAAAAAAAAAAAAAAAAACACATTAATGAGAAAAAAGATTACAAAGGTTAAAATTACTTGCAGCATTCGACGGCACGAGTTAGGAGAATTCTCGCATCATCCGGCTCCTCTAGCTCGATAGCAGCTTTCCAAAGACGTACAGATGTAGGAATTTGTTCAAGCGCCTTGCGAAACACCTTCCTTTTATTTTTGGCATCTTCCTCCAATTCTGCAGCCTTCATCCAAATACGCACAGAGTTCGGTAAAGACCGAACAGCTGCGGCAACTAAACGCAGATGAAAAACTAGAGTTAAAGGAACCAGACAAAGTTTGTACACTGCTTGCAAGTACTTTTGTGCTACAACACTGTAAAGCAAACAAGAAAAGAATACTTTTATTCACTTTACGAACGACTGAATTAGCAAACGAGCTCACCAATTGACTTCGACGTTTCCGGAGGATGAAGACGCACTGCTTCTAACCAAAGGTCTTCACTTTTTGGGTTACGGTCACAGCCTTCCATAATTAAATTCCGAGCTACCTGTAATTTACCGACTACTTCTTCCAAACGCGCTGATGCAACCCACGCTGAAACATTTAATACAGTTAATAATGACACTACCTTAAGAAAAGGACCTTTCAGAAAAATGTAAGTAACCAGGAGGATGACGAGGGTTGGTTTCTCTAACAGATTTCAAAAGCAGCCGTGCTTTTTTGATGTCGTTTATATCACCCCCATACTGCGGGATCATAGACTGCAGATCAGTTAGGTAACCTTTAGGATCGACTACTGTTTGTCCTGATACAGAGTCAGACACCTCAAAAAATTCCAAAAGTATAAAAGATTTACCCTTATATAAAAGGCAAGAGTTGAAGTATAGAACTGAAAAAAAACGACAGTTACTGTCATAGAAGAAATAAATATACAAATTATCCACAATTTAACTACAATTTTAATGCTACAAGAACATTTATTTCATACCTGATTTAGCTTTATGTCCATAATAGCATTCCTAGCTTGGCCAATCTTACGTAGATCTAAGTCAGCATTTGATGCTGCACCACTATGGACTCCAGTTTTCCATCCAGGCGTTAATAAACCAGATTTAATGCCACTTAAACTGGTCATAAATCCAGAGCCCAAAGTCGACATCATTCCACCATAGGTAGAAGTCATCCCTCCAAAAGTGGAAGTTATACCAGAGCCAAGAGGAGTAACCAACCCTGACTGCACCCTACTGTCCATTTGGGTCGATAGCTGCCCATAGCTCATGGCAGAGGCAAGGACCGAGTCAGGTACTGGAGTGATTCTGAAAGTTCATTCGATACGAGATAAGTCATCGCCAAAAGATTTTTTAAGAAAATAAGGTACTAATTGAAACTTCAAAAATCACGACATATATCAGCAGCATGGAAGAAGTAATGCTAAACATTGTTACAACACCTCTCAGTACGTGGGTTACGTTTTGCTTTGTTCCGTATGTCACCAACTTCCGGTATAGCAGCCCATTCCGACTCATCAACTGTGGCAAGCTGACGTTTCAAATCAGAAAATTCTTGTTGGATTTTTGGACGCTCTTTTCGGTACTTCTCAAGTGCTTGACGGTATTTTTTCTCCCTGAAATTATTTTAGTTAAACAAGTTAATGAGCAACAAAAGATATTAAAACTCACTTTTTGAATAAAAACTCACTTCTGAATACGACGAGATTAAGAAAAAACGCATAAACTAAAAAGTGGTAACCTGTAATCTTTCCTCCGCTCGTCAATTCGTGAGTCAACAGCATTGTAAATCTCGTCAGCTTCCTCATCATCTTTTTCATATGGATCCTTTGAAACTAAGCTTCCGCCATACCCTTCAAACTGAAAAAGGCCAAGAACCAATTAAAGTTGCAAAAACAACTTTAAACAGTTTTAAGAAAATAGATCGTTACAGCAGTTACAGCTAGGAGCTGTTCTGTCTTTCGTTTAAAACCTTTTTTTTTAAACCTACTTCGTCATAATTAGCATCATTGAGATCCTCATTATCATCTTTCCGATCATCATCGTCTTCCTTAGTCCTTTTAGCTGGACCGGCTGGGGGTAATTCTGGCAGATCGGTACTATCTCTAGCCGGACCAATATCAGAACGAGTGGTGAAGCCAGTCGCACCTCTACCAACACCAGCTACATAGCCAGCTGGTGCTGGCATACCCATGAAGTGCTTCTTCCGCTTATTAACAAGCGAACCAGGAATAGTGACGGTAGTCATTGAAGAGGATTAACTGATTGATTACCTCCTTTGAAAAAGAAAAAAGATCATGCACACACTCAGAACATTAGTAAAGCAAGGATAAAAAAGAACTACGATTAAGAAACATATGCAAATGAGTTGCTACAGAACAAAGTAAGTTGCAAAATTTAACAACGCGAAATAAGAAGTTATAGAAATCACTAAATCCGCCGTGAAAACTGCATGAGTATAAGTTATCAATGAAGTTTTCAGAAGGCTGATAAAACTTTGAAAAAAAAAAAAAAAATGTGGTGTGTCCACAAAGATAACACAATTTTCTATGGCATGACCTACCTTTTTTCAAAATTAAAACGTTATAAGTCGGCATCAACCCATTTTGCCAAGAAAAAAAAAAAACAACTATTTTGTTCTAACTTATTTTAGTCGTTTGCAGACCTTGGACACTCTAGATTTACAACTGCAGTTCCAGCAAAACCCATGTACGTATTTCTTTTTTTTTTTTCTTTCAGCATACAGATACGCTTTTGCACGATAGAGACACGGCGTAATAAATCTGCAGTCCCTATACAACTTTTGGAGTTCTGTCTCGTACAGACTTCTTTCCGTTCTAAATGATCAAAAAAACACTCATACTGGGACGGATAGGCCAAAGTGAGACATCAGCAATACAACTTTTCCAGAAATCAAATTGCTCGGCCAAATTTAAACAAAAAGAGGCAACAGATTAAAGAAAGATGGAAAAAAGAAAAATAATAACTGTACACATTACTACTCTACAAGAAACTCTCAAGAAAGTCAATTTAACTAGAACTAAGAACTTCATCATCTTCCACTACCTTTCGTCACCGATGCGTACCTCGAAAAAAGTCGTACTTCGAACACTGGAACTTGACAACGATCGCAGCTAAAGTTCATCTATAGCAGCTTAACATCAGGCTACTTGACTCCAAACTTTTTCTTTAGACTCTAACACGAATAAACCATTTTTACTGGCAGAATTTCAAACCGTCATTATCCGGCTTAAAAACTGATAATTCTGACAAGCGGTTAAGAGTTATGATTCCGGCTCTGTTTAGCTGCTGCTTATATTATTTTTGCTATGTTCATGTTTTTCCTTTCTTAGTCGTATACGTCTAGTTTGTATTTTTAAGCTTTCTACCTGCGTGATACACGCAGAGTTGAAAAGGAAGTAGTTTAAAATTTTCCAGCTGACAGTTACTGTCTGAAGTGTTTTAAAAATCTCGGTGCTTCGTTCAATTTTTACTTCAAATAAAATAGTTATCGAGCAGGAATATAGGCGTTTCCATTACCAGCATATCGCTGTAAAGGCCGCTAACGCGAGATGAGTCTCTGTTGGAACAGTTTCAATTGTTCAAATATGAAGCTCGCTACGGATATAATTCTCGGATACTTTCCGTTTATTCAAGATGTCTAGAACGACAGTCTGGCTATCAGAACGCAGTAAGAACGAACAGTTGGGCGCTGTTGTAGTTAAGCGAGCTCATCCTTGAACATGCATTTTCTTTTAATGACCAACCTAATTTCATTTTTTGTTTGCAAGGTTTTCAGCACCGCTTGATTTCTTTGTGACAGTTCCATAACTGTTTATTTAGCTTTCAGTGCCTTTCTAACAATCTACTTCCAAAATTTCGTTTTAATCTTTTTGCCACTTTACAGCACCGTTTCCTTGTCAACGAGTAATGTAATATAGCGCATGCATGTTGTAAGTATACGAATTTGGGTTTAGCTTTTTTGCAGTCTGCTCCTTGTTTTCTTGGAGGAACTTCTGCTGTCACAACAGCGCTTACACTCACCTGTTCCTAGCAAGAGACACTTCTTGAAACTGTGTTTAAAGCAGTTTTACAGTAACGGTCGCAGCTACCGACGCAGCCTCTAACTTGAATGATGATTATCGTAGTCTTCCTGCTACTGTTTCCTATGAGGCCTTGAGTTAACTTTAATTTTTTGCTGTAATCCTAGTAGGCCTTTGGAATCTGCAACACCAGCTGCTGGTTGTAAATTTACCTACTTTCGTTGGTATGGTTTTGAAGAAATGTATTCTCACTCTGTTATCTACCCAGGACTCGTTTGAGCGGTAATGGAATATAAACGACTATCAAATTTTTGTAGTCCTTATTTCTAAGTGATATAGAAGAATTGTCGTACACAGCTACCACGTGGAACCTTCGAAGCAACAACTGTCGTGCACCAGTACCAACCTACGAAGCGATAAAAATACTGCTGCACGAAAGACACCGATTGCTTTCGTTTAAAATAACTTTTGATTTAAATCACTGGATGGGTTCAAACAAAGTAGTTCAGTTGACAAATTTTCTAGAAAGATAGCAAATCTGAAGTTGGGCTAGATAGACAAGTTTGAAACAATCGTGGCTGAATTAGGCCTTGTTGAAAACTTTGTATATTGAAGATAAAGTTGGGTTGACAGCCAAATCAATGCTTATTTCGGAGTGGACACGCCTAAGTGCAACAACGCCTACTACTGGACGGAGCTAGTTCGACTAAGAGTCAGCGGTCAATC